CAGCAGCAGCAGCAGCAGTAGTAAGGGAAGCAGCAGGAGGAGTAGCAGAGGGAGCAGCTCCTTACCCCGCTCTAACATTTTTATACTTTCTGAAGAGTCCTGAGAATTCCAAATGTAAATTATCTTCAGCTGGCAATATCATGCCCTTGCCAGAGCACAAGACAAATCATAGTTGGCTGCTGTGGACAACCTGATGCAGCCTCATATCCATACTTGGGATTAAAATAAAAGCACATTCACATAACATTTCTGTGTTTTTAAAGGAACCAAAATTTTCACTACACTTAGCTTTGTAAATTTTCATACAGTTACTTTATATAATTATGAATATTTTTTGTACTCTGAAGGCCCCTGCCTCTGTGTCCCCATCCCCCTCCACCTCAGTCAGAGCTAGAGAGGAAGGAAACAAGATGGGTATTTCTGTAAACATTTTCCCCCTTTTTGGATGAGATTAGGCAATTACTCACCAGATTTCATCATTACAATGAGTAAATCCAACAATTTGCAGAAGCTTACTGCTCTTTTATTCTAACTGTGTGTGCTACTTCTTACTACAAGGTAAAAAGAGCCGAGTTGAACTGGCTATGAAACCAGCGACCTTCTTGCAAGCTAACACACCCTGAGAACACAGCCGGGAGCACAGTCTGAATGGTAAGTCGTAGCTGGTGTTGAGTTAGCAACATCTATTGAGAAAAGGAGGGGGTGGTGGTGAACATCACCAAAGTACATTGTATGGATGTATAAAATACTCAAAGAATTAATAAAGTATTATGCTAAACCAATAGGAAAGATGGAAAGGTCAGGGTGTTACTCAATAGTGAACTCTGTCTGGCATGAACAAGGAGAATGGGGTTGGGGGTTCTCAGAGTCTAGCAGTTAACACAAACAAACAAAAAACAACCAAGAAACCAACCAACCAACAACAAAAAAAAACCCAAGAGAAATGACACACAAATATAGGAAATGGAAGGCTCTTTTCTGGAATGTTGGCAAAGAAACATAGGCTCTCTCGACATCTCTATATTTAAAACAAAACTAATCTTCAACAAAAGGAAATCTAAGAAGTAGGCATGGTTGTGCATGCTTGTAATCCCAGTGGTTAGGAAACTGAGGCAGGAGGATTGCTACAAGTCTCAGGTCAGCATGGGCTACACAGCCAGACTGTCCCAAGAAAAAGTAAAAAGGGAGTTGGGGATGGGAAGGTGTCCTAAGGAGACTAGAGTCCCAACAACAGTCAACTTTCGTTCCAGCCCAGAAGTTAATGGCACGCATTAATAAGCATTCAATATGTTGATAAACTAATGACAGAAATTACCTTTTGAGCTTCAGGATGAATGCAAAAGACATGAATTTAGCCCAGAATATTTTCCACTTCCTAGCTCTATGATAGGACAACCCAATGCCTGTCTTTGTGCATTATCTTCTCTTTCTGTTTAGTGGGAAAAATATAATCGTGGGCATAAAATTACACAGCATCCCATGAAAACATCATAAATGCCTGAGGCAGGCATTACTATATTTCAAGTACTGTTTCTTTCCATCTATATTGTTCTTTCCTGTTTTCTTTCCCGTGCCCTGATTTTCCTCATCTTAAAGGTTTTAATTTTTTTTATTTGTGCATGTCTCTGTGTATAGTGGGATAGTTTCCCCGCTACATTTGCAATAAAGCTAGGATGAACCCCAGACGACACCCGCCATGCTCATGGTTCCCAGTAGAAATGAGACTCTCAAGGCTTAGTAATTAACCAAAGGATTTATATATTTGGAAATGCTCAATTAGCAAGATGCCCACACAATAGAGTTGTTACCCAATACCTAACCTGTAGATATAAATTTGTTACCCAGGACTGCTCTAGACCAATTTGTCCTCCTCCATCGTTGCCAGTCTCCATCGTTCTCTCCTCTCTTCTCCTTCTCCTTCCCACTCTTCACTCCTCCACTAGCACCTCCCAAATTACCAAGCTTTATTGCAAATGTAGGGGGAGGTAGGAATATCCCACTACATGTGTGAATGTGAATGCCATGCCATATTGTGGAGGTCAGAGGATAGCTTTCAGCAGGCAAGTTTTTCTTCCCACCATGTGGACCCAGCAGCCAAACTCTGCTCATCAGGTTTGGTCAGTGGTAAGCTCCTTTACTTGCTGAGCCACTTCACTGGCTCCTCCTCCTCTTTTTATTTCTAGCAAATGTATATCCCCCTCTATTCCTTCTCTTCTGGGTTTTTTTGTTTCATGCCTTTGAATATATCCAACTATTTCTTATGTACTGAGTATCAGTGAGATAACTCTAGGTAACAGAATCCCACACCTACAAAAAAGAGCACATAATGTAGTACCTGTCTTTCAATTTGATGTCCTTCATAGCCTTCATATAAGAAGGGAACCATGTGCTGCAGCTATGCTTCATCAGTCAGCTCTCTGTTGCTGTAACCGTGGTGGTCGTGGGTGGCAAAACGACTCAGCTCACGGCAGGAACTTGAAAGAAGGAGCTAAAGTTCTTATATCCCCTTTAAGATTGCATCCCCCAAATGACTGGATGAACCCTTACTAGCGGCTACTTCTTAAAGGTTCTACAACTTCTCCAAAGCACTATGAACTGGGGATCACACCTCTAACACATGGGCTTTGAAGGATACTTAGGTAAATCACAGCAAATGCAAACTTGAAATTCTGAAAGATGCCGGGCGGTGGTGGCGCATGCCTTTAATCCCAGCACTTGGGAGGCCTAGGCAGGCGGATTTCTGAGTACGAGGTCAGCCTGGTCTACAGAGTGAGTTCCAGGACAGCCAGGACTACACAGAGAAACCCTGTCTCAAAAAACAAAACAAAACAAAACAAAACAAAATTCTGAAAGACTAATGCTATATACAAAAGAGGACCCCAATTAGGAAAATGTCCAAGGTGAGACATGTCCCTGAAGTGGAAACTTAAGGAGTTCTTTGGAAAGTTGGATGATGTTTTGCTGGGGCAAACACATGAAGGAACATTTAGCTGAAGTAGACACAGGTGAAAGGATGTTTTGCTAAAGCAAGCAAGCACATGGAAGGACACGTGATGAAGGATTCTTGGCTAACAACATGGTTGTATTGGTCCGCCTTATATTGTGTAGTTGAGCTGCATTTGTAGGGATTCCATAGGGAGAAATGTACCTAAAAACTTCTGGTTGTGTGCTGTAGTTTCTTGTTGCTTCCAAGGTCTTGAGTTGATTGGCAGAGTGATGTCAGCGGAGACAGACACACATGCTGAGGCAAGAGCAGTGGAGAAGTGATGTTTGGAGGAAGTACAAATAGGACTTGATGGACAGTGACAGAGGTGAGTTTGGCTTGCTCATAGAGCTAGCTGTGCAGCCCTTGTGGTTCTCAGGTCTTCACTGATCTTCCCTTCGATGAGAGAGGCACAGCCGAGACTGTCTCCTGGCGTTCCTTCTGGTCCCTCTTGCTGACTTGTGCTGAAGCTGAGGCCTAGCTGTCTCTGCTAGGTAGTGCTCCCGCTGCTGATTCATGGTTGCTATCCCAACTCTATGGAACTGGACTGCTGGTGTATCCGTGAAGTGTTTGGAAGTGGGTCAAGCTGCAGCTACTGACCTATGAATTGAACTCTTGATTTCCAGACAACACAGACGGCAGTTGCTCCAAAGAACCAGGTCACTACCCCACTATCTTTTATTTCCCACTACCTCTGGTGGGTGGTGGGCTAAAAGGGAGGTTAAAGCATTTAAGGACCATTATTAAAAATAGGTTTTGAAAAAATTAAAGTTACATGTCCTCAGACTTCTGACAGTGATTTGGACCTTAAAGCAAGCTGGTACCTATCTCAGGTATTTAGGGAGAACTCACCCAGATAGTGTGTCTTATGTGTATCTTATAGGGCTTGCTCTAAAAACCTGAGAGTGCTTTCCCAGTGACAAATTGAGATACTTAGGTGTCAGGAAGGTGAGACACTTGGCCCCAGTCTCTGATGTCTGTGAGGAAGGATGGGTCTCAGCCATTAGCATAGCTTGGGCATTACTTACTGTATTTGTTGCTTTCTTGTTGATATTACCAAATATCTAACAAGAAACAACATAAGGGAAGAAGAATTTGGCCTACTGTTTGAGAGTAGAGTCAGTTCATCATGGTGGGAAAGGAATGTGGCTGGAGCACTCAAAGCTGCTCCACAGACCAGTAGGAAGAGACAACACAGGAAGTGAGGACAAGCTATTAGCCTCAACGCTCAGCACCCATAGATCCACTTCCTTTGGCTAGGCCTCATGTACATTTATAGAGAAAGGCTGTGTAGACAGTTTGAAAATTAGCCACGTGAAAACCAAAAATGGGACTTCAGAAGAAATCAAACCTTGAACTTCTGGCCCCCAGAACCATGGGAGAATAAATTTCTGTTGTTTAAGTCACCCAGGATATGGTGTTATGTTATGATAGTCCTAGTAACCAAATGAATACAGCAGCATGTCTTTACTTGTGTAGTAAGAACCACAGGGGATATTTGTTCATTAAAATTTTAATTGTTCATTAAAACAAAGGAAGTGAATGCTTGGGTGATCTCTCTTTCCCTCTGTCTCTGTCTCTGTCTCTGTCTCTGTCTCTCTCTCTCTCTCTCTCTCTCTCTGTGTGTGTGTGTGTGTGTGTGTGTGTGTGTGTGTGTGTGTGTATGCATATATGTGCCATTGAGGTATATTTGCATATAAAAATGAGGGAAAGAAACCCAAGAGCATTTGGCCTTGCATTTCAGCTAGCTTTTCTTCTATCAGTGCCATCATTCTTTCTAAAGGTGTACTCCTAAATCAACTTACCTCATTGTAAAAGATGTTGATTGGCTACGAAAAAGTTATAACTTATGTATATGAGTGTTTTGTCTACATGTATGTCTGTCTATCACACACATGTCTGATGCCCATGAAATTCAGATGAGCCATCAAGTGATAGTGGGAATTTAACCCAGATCTTCTGGAGATGTAGCCAGTGTTCTTAACTGCTGAGTGCTCTCTTTAGCCCATTCCAGGAAATGCTTTCTGTCAGTGTATTTTCAGTTTTCCAAAGAACAATTTGACACCTTCTCCACTTTGTGTTTGTTTCCTATAAGAATGCCAGTGAACAAAGATAAAAGCCACCGATCCAAGGGCGTGGCTTTTTCACTGCAGTTATATTACCAAGTCCCTTTGTGGGGGTAAGTGGATAGGTGGTCTGTTAGAGTTTCTGTTGTCATACCTAAAGAGGTCACAGAAAGAGCTTACAGGTAGATGAGTAAGCTGCTAGACTGGACTTTCATAGCAACTCAAATCTGTTGTGCTTGTAGGAACTTACAGTAACTGAATAACACTAATCAGCCTTGTCTCTTAGGCTAAAGTTCAACGTGAATTAGTCATATCTATATCCAGATGATTAATTGATCTTTACTCAGCCCATGGGGATAATGGTAACAGCTTCCTTGAGAGGGCCAATGACTCACAGGGCTTAGTTTTTAAATCACTTATTTCTTTCATTTTAGTCCCTTGAAATAAATTCCTCGAAATAGCCAAGTTCCAAAGTAGCTGTTATTTTTCTTAGTAGATGACAAACCTTCTATTCCGGGTTCTAGTGAAACACAGTTCATAGGTGACTATTTTTGTTGTTACACACCTACTAAATGTGTTTTGTTCTAGGGATGTGCTAGCAA